AAACCATGAAGAAAAAGCCAAACTTCATGAAAATCGGATGAGATTTGACCGAGTTATGGGGGTGGTACATTTTGACCCATGTCTATATACGAATCTTGGGGTAAGATTTGGACATAAATTTCGACTAAAAAATCGGTGTTCAGATTTGAATGCCAAAATAATCTAGTGTGAAAACCATGAAGAAATATCCAAACTTCGTGAAAATCTGATGAGATTTGGCCGAGTTATGGGGGTGGTACATTTTGACCCATGTCTATATACGAATCTTGGGGTAAGATTTGGACATGAATTTCGACAAAAAAAATCGGTGTCGAGATTTGAATGCCACATTAATCTAGAGGGAAAACCATGAAGAAAAATCCAAACTTCGTGAAAATCGGATGGGATTTGGCCGAGTTATGGGGGTGGTACATTTTGACCCATGTCTATATACGAATCTCGGGGTAAGATTTGGACATGAATTTCGACCAAAAAATCGGTGTCGAGATTTGAATGCCAGATGAATCTAGAGGGAAAACCATGAAGAAAAATCCAAACTTCGTGAAAATCTGATGAGATTTGGCCGAGTTATGGGGGTGGTACATTTTGACCCATGTCTATATACGAATCTCGGGGTAAGATTTGGACATGAATTTCGACTAAAAAATCGCTATTCGTATTTGAATGCCAGATTAATCTAGAGGGAAAACCATGAAGAAAAAGCCAAACTTCATGAAAATCGGATGAGATTTGACCGAGTTATGGGGGTGGTACATTTTGACCCATGTCTATATACGAATCTCGGGGTAAGATTTGGACATGAATTTCGACCAAAAAATCGGTGTCGAGATTTGAATGCCACATTAATCTAGAGGGAAAACCATGAAGAAAAAGCCAAACTTCATGAAAATCGGATGAGATTTGACCGAGTTATGGGGGTGGTACATTTTGACCCATGTCTATATACGAATCTTGGGGTAAGATTTGGACATAAATTTCGACTAAAAAATCGGTGTTCAGATTTGAATGCCAAAATAATCTAGTGTGAAAACCATGAAGAAATATCCAAACTTCGTGAAAATCGGATGAGATTTGGCCGAGTTATGGGGGTGGTACATTTTGACCCATGTCTATATACGAATCTTGGGGTAAGATTTGGACATGAATTTCGACCAAAAAATCGGTGTCGAGATTTGAATGCCACATTAATCTAGAGGGAAAACCATGAAGAAAAATCTAAACTTCGTGAAAATCGGATGAGATTTGGCCGAGTTATGGGGGTGGTACATTTTGACCCATGTCTATATACGAATCTTGGGGTAAGATTTGGACATGAATTACGACCAAAAAATCGGTGTCGAGATTTGAATGCCACATTATTCTAGAGAGATAACCATGAAGAAAAAGCCAAACTTCATGAAAATCGGATGAGATTTGACCGAGTTATGGGGGTGGTACATTTTGACCCATGTCTATATACGAATCTTGGGGTAAGATTTGGACATAAATTTCGACTAAAAAATCGGTGTTCAGATTTGAATGCCAAAATAATCTAGTGTGAAAACCATGAAGAAAAATCCAAACTTCGTGAAAATCGGATGAGATTTGGCCGAGTTATGGGGGTGGTACATTTTGACCCATGTCTATATACGAATCTTGGGGTAAGATTGGACATGAGTTTCGGCTAAAAAATCGCTATTCATATTTGAATGCCAGATTAATCTAGAGGGAAAACCATGAAGAAAAATCCAAACTTCGTGAAAATCGGATGAGATTTGGCCGAGTTATAGGGGTGGTACATTTTGACCCATGTCTATATACGAATCTTGGGGTAAGATTTGGACATGAATTTCGATAAAAAAATCGGTGTCGAGATTTGAATGCCACATTAATCTAGAGGGAAAACCATGAAGAAAAATCTAAACTTCGTGAAAATCGGATGAGATTTGGCCGAGTTATGGGGGTGGTACATTTTGACCCATGTCTATATACGAATCTTGGGGTAAGATTTGGACATGAATTACGACCAAAAAATCGGTGTCGAGATTTGAATGCCACATTATTCTAGAGGGAAAACCATGAAGAAAAAGCCAAACTTCATGAAAATCGGATGAGATTTGACCGAGTTATGGGGGTGGTACATTTTGACCCATGTCTATATACGAATCTTGGGGTAAGATTTGGACATGAATTTCGACCAAAAAATCGGTGTCGAGATTTGAATGCCACATTAATCTAGAGGGAAAACCATGAAGTAAAAGCCAAACTTCGTGAAAATCGGTTGAGATTTGGCCGAGTTATGGGGGTGGTAAATTTTGACCCATGTCTATATACGAATCTTGGGGTAAGATTTGGACATGACTTTCGACTAAAAAATCGCTATTCGTATTTGAATGCCAGATTAATCTAGAGGGAAAACCATGAAGAAAAAGCCAAACTTCATGAAAATCGGATGAGATTTGACCGAGTTATGGGGGTGGTACATTTTGACCCATGTCTATATACGAATCTCGGGGTAAGATTTGGACATGAATTTCGACCAAAAAATCGGTGTCGAGATTTGAATGCCACATTAATCTAGAGGGAAAACCATGAAGAAAAAGCCAAACTTTGTGAAAATCGGATGAGATTTGGCCGAGTTATGGGGGTGGTACATTTTGACCCATGTCTAATTACGAATCTTGGGGTAAGATTTGGACATGAATTTCGACTAAAAGATCGTTGTTCAGATTTGGATGCCAGATGAATCTAGAGGGAAAACCATGAAGAAAAATCCAAACTTCGTGAAAACCTGATGAGATTTGGCCGAGTTATGGGGGTACATTTTGACCCATGTCTATATACGAATCTCGGGGTAAGATTTGGACATGAATTTCGACCAAAAAATCGGTGTCGAGATTTGAATGCCACATTAATCTAGAGGGAAAACCATGAAGAAAAAGCCAAACTTCATGAAAATCGGATGAGATTTGAACGAGTTATGGGGGTGGTAAATTTTAACCCATGTCTATATACGAATCTTGGGGTAAGATTTGGACATAAATTTCGACTAAAAAATCGGTGTTCAGATTTGAATGCCAGATTAATCTAGTGGGAAAATCATGAACAAAAAGCCAAACTTCGTGAAAATCGGATGAGATTTGGCCGAGATATGGGGGTGGTAATTTTTGACCCATGTCTAGATACGAATCTTGGGGTAAGATTTGGACATGAATTTCGACTAAAAAATCGGTGGTCAGATTTGAATGCCAGATTAATCTAGAGGGAAAACCATTTAGAAAAATCCTATATCATATACATATATATATTCTATTTTAGAAGCTATACGTCAAGTTTGGTGACTCTAGTTCTTATTATTTACCAAAATTGCCCAAAAAACAGGATATCGGTATCGATTTTTATCGATATCTTGGAAACGGAGTAAGTTATCGATTATCGGAAACAAACTCGATCTGCGCGGGAGCTAGGAGCACCTACATCTAAAATTTTAAGTCTCTAGCTCTTAAAGGTTCTGAGATCCTTGCGTTCATACATACGGACGAACGGACGGACGGACGGAAGGACAGACAGACGGACATGGCTAGATCGACTCGGCTATTGATGCTGATCAAGAATATATATACTTAGTGGGGTCGGAGATGCTTCCTTCTGCCTGTTACATACATTTGGAATTTGCACAAATACAATATACCCTTATACCCATTTTTAATGGGTTCAGGGTATAAAAACAACAAAGAGAGAGCGAGACATAACAAACATGCCTGTCACGGCAGTAAACCACGCCCCCTTGGCAGCGTAACGCCCACGGTGCCTGCATAAAAATACATCAAGCGGCAACAATAAAATTAAGAAATTTTCAATTTATGCATGAGACACCTGACGACGACGCTCATATGTGCGTGCGTGTGTGTGTGATGTTTGTGTGTGTGTGTGCTGTTTGTGGCACGCCCATCAGCCATATAAATGCACATATAGCCGTGCATAACTACGTTCATATGCGGTCTACCTGGAGCTGCTTATTAGACATTTTTATTACCTCAGCCGCTTAATTATGTTTACCAATATGTGCGGCTGTAAGGCGGGAGAGGTTCCAGGAGGTGTTTGAAGGACGGGCGACGGGTATATTATGCCTAATAATATGTTCTTAGTGTCCGTCATGCCAAACAGAATTGCGCTCTTGCTGGAAACAATCAAACATCGATGGCACAGGCCTATCGATCATTTCTGCACAGCGATCGCTTTTCTACAATTCAATTGGAAATGTATTTTGTAAAGAACCAATGGGCCTTTGGATGAATGCAAAATTTTATTCTAATTTTATTTTTTGTGTTATATAAAGTATCACAAATAAAGCAAAAGCTTTAAATGGGCGCTCGATTGCCTTTGGGTAGAGCGACTTGCATAATATAAACTTTCTTAAAGCATTTGTAATATCGCCTTTCTATGCGATTTTAATGGGGCTCAGTGAGATTGATTTGTATATTTTTGGGAACAAGATTATCACTATTAAAATAAAAGCACTCGACTCCCCTCGGGCTGAGTGACCATGATATTTTACACTAACCTAAAGCATTTTGAAGATAGCCTTTCTATGCGATTTTCATGGTTTCTCAGTGTGTTTAAGTTTTGTATTTTTTCTGTGATATAGAATTTCACTTTTACCAGCATTTAGTATTTTAATATACTGATTAGTTTTTTTTGAATGTGTTTGTTAACCAAGGTATCTTCTTGACTTGATCCAATTTTATTTGTTAAAGACTCTCTGGCTTACGAATAAGCCATTTTTTAGACTCCCCTTTTCTCTTGGTCTTTCCCTACACGTGTTTATATAGACACATATGTATATGGCCTCTGAAAAGTAGAAATAAAAGAGAAATATGCAAATGACCCACTTATAAGTAACTCTCTCTGCGCGTCGCTCTCTCTCTCTCTCAGTGTCACCCTCTTTCTCAGTCTCTCTCTCTCTCAGTCTCCTTCTCTCTCTTACAGTAACCTTTATAACTAATCTATTTTTTTGACAGGCTATGGCAACATCGCACCCCGTACGGCGCTTGGAAGAATCGTAACCCTGGCCTATGCCTTTTTTGGAATACCCCTAACGCTGGTCTACCTGAGCAGCACGGGCAGCATTCTGGCCAAAGTGGCGCGCGAGGTGTTCTCGAAGGCGCTGTGCTGCTGCCTGTGCTCCAACTGCGGTTATTGCTGCTACGACGAGAAGCGGATGGCGGAGAAGGAGCGACGCATGAAGCGGAAGCGGCAGCAGGAGGAGCTGCGCAAACAGCAGGCGGTCATGCAGGAGCCCTACTATGTGCGCGATGTGTATCATGCCACGCCCGAGAAGCAAGCTGGCGGCACAGTTGGTGGAGCTGGCGGCGGAGTTGGAGGAACCGGCGCTGCCGGGGTCGGTGGCACTGGCGCACCCACTGGCGTACCCGGCCTGGGCATGCCACCGGCACCGCCATCGGGCGGTGCATCTGGCGCGGACATTGATTCGCTGAGCGCCAGCGAGTCGCGTGGCTCCATGCACGGCCTGAGCATATTGGCGCCCATTCTGCTTTGCTTCTCCATGATGATCATCTACATAGTGTTTGGGGCAGCGGTTCTGTATCGCCTGGAGAATTGGCCGATTATCGATGGCATCTATTTCTGTTTCATGAGCCTCTCGACCATTGGATTTGGCGACATGCTGCCTGGTCTAAGGCGCGATTCGAATGCCACCACCTGGTTCTGTTCGGTATATATTATGTCCGGCATGACACTGACGGCCATGTGCTTCAATGTAATCCACGAGGAGATTGTCCATCGCATACGCATTGTGGTGGAGTTCAAGAAGGCGGGCGCTGCCACAGCTGCCGGCACCGGCGGCTCAATGTTGGATGTCACACACGAGGAGGGCAATCAGTTCTATGTGCCCGCATCTTGACACTACGAGAAGCGCGGACATCTCTATCAGCGCAATCCCACCGAGGAGACACTGGTGACAGGTGAGCCACGGTCGGCTTTTATTCGCCTAACACCAGCTAATAGCTTATTGTCTTCCATTTGCAGACACGCCCACATCGCTGGTGCTCAAGGACTATGTTAACCACGAGCTGGTGCCCATTTTGACCATGGATCCGAATGGCTCACGCCTGGGCCTGGCACAGCCAGCGCCCGTTTATACGTCCGCGACCAACACGAATCCAACTGAAGTCGCCGGCGAGAGCAACGCCCTGGGCTACTCAACGCTTAACAGTCCGCTGCTCGAAGGACTCACAGCGGGTGGAAGCGGGGGCGGAGGCGGAGGCGGGGGCGGAGGAGTCCCATCACAGATCAAAGCCGGCGTCTACACGCTGGCCGAGGAGACGGAGCTCGAACTGCAGGCCGTGCACACGGACACGCACGTGGAACGCGTCTAGAGCTGAGCAGCGGACAGTATTAGGTCGTAGGTCACATAGAATTAGTCCATAGTCAGTTTAATGTGTACAATTTTTTTTTGTGGGCTATGCCCGGATAAAAACCAGAAACCAAAAGCCTAGCTCTAAGTTTGACTATCATTGTATATAAAAAAACAAAAAGAAAATCAAAGTAGCAAAAGAGAAAGAGAACACATAAAATATGAGACAGAAAGAGAAAGGGAGAGCGCGCTTCAGCAGGAGCGAGGCGAAAGGATACATTTCCATAGCTCGTAAGCAAAATAACAAAATATTGGGCAGCCCCACGGCATGCTACAGAAATTAGTCAATGTAGTAAAAACAGGAAAAAAAAACTTAAGAAAAAACAACAAAAAAATCAGTGGAAAAAAACTATTATACAATAAGCACTTAAATACTACGTTTATGCGATGAATTTCACGATTTCTCTAAAAGCAGCTGTAGATTTCTGCTTCTTAAACTTCGAGTTCGTTTTGAAGCAATCTGGCAGCACGAAATAACTGTATGTAAACATTGAGTTGGCAACGCCTGAGCATTTCATAAATTCCAGCTAGCGCGTGAACAAATATTTATTCAGCTGAATTTGTGAAAATGTCGGAAATATACAGTGAAAAATATTGTTTTAAGCTTTCGACGTAGCATAAAAGATAAAACTGTTTCGCGCTCTAAACATTTGAATACTACGTTTACGCGATGCACTTCACGATTTCCTGAAATCTTTTCCATATGGATTAGTGCTACTGATTTTTTTTTTTCAATTTCTTTAAGGCAATCTGGCAACACGTTTAATGGTATACACATGAAGCTGTTGTGTTTTTAGCATTCGTGCAGTTCATGAAATAATCATCATTTCTCAATACTTTGCTCACAAAAAGTATTTTGAAAATCAATTATTTTGAACTGAATTTGCCGTGCTTTCAGCTACATTTTTCTGCAAGCGCCACATAAAAGTTAAAAAAGAAAAAAACAAAATGAAATAAATAAATAAAGTATAAAAATTACTCGTACATATATAAATAGGTACATATGCATACATATAATAGTAAATCGAGTAAGAACTTACTGAAGCCCAGCCACATTGCAAAACTTACATATAAATGCCCGTAAAGCATAAAGCATCCCAACATTTTATACGTAAATCAAGCTTACATAGTTAATATACGAATATCAAAAAAAGTAAACAAAAAACATTGAAAAAAAAACATCAACAAAAATATGCTACTTACATATATAAAATATGATATAAATATAGATAATTGTTGTTGTTTTTTTTTTTTTTTTTTTGTATTGTAATTGTAAAACCTAACATAAAAATACGCATATTATCAATGAATTTAAATTCATAAAATTTCAATAACGTTTAAACTCAAAAACTTTGTAAATTGAATGCATGTTTGAATGTACCCAATTGTATATTTACAACACAGCGAGAAAACAAAAATGCATAAATAAAACTTAAATAAGTAAAGATGTTGAAAAGTGCCAGCGTATTATCACATTCCACAACACTGTCTAACACTAGATCTGGCAACTCTAGGCCAACAATTATTAGTAACTGGCATTTATTGTAGTTAATTCTTTTTTATAAGTTATATTGAGCTTTTCGAAACAATTTTCTCGACATTTCTTGCGAAATTTTCTAAAACTTACTCATTTTTATCTCATCATGTTTTCATCACATAAAAACTGCCATAGACGGCAAAATATTAACTTGAATTTTAGTTCAGTTTGTAACATCAGCTTTAATCATATTTGTAACATATGTATAATCATATTTGTATGCTTGCTTAAGTTCATCTTGTAACTTTAGTTTTAATCATATTTGAGTACTTGTGGATCCCCCGAGTGAGTCCAGCGCGCCACCTATTGGAAGGCAAGCGTAAGCAATTCAGCAATGCAGTTGGCGCCACCTATCGTTAGGCATATCAAACACCTCATCAAGCAAAGTTTGCAGCAAGTGATTTGCGCGCGCATTTCAAAATAATAGGAGGCGCGCCGTGAAAAGTTTGCCGAAATAATTGGATATAAATGACTGTGTGGATTTGTTGTTAACGCCGTTTAGCAACAATTATGAGTTCAGATCGGGCTAAAAGTGTTCGCACTCCAGTTTCCACTAGCAGGTAAGCCAAACAAACGACGCCATCAATTTGTTATTAACAATTTAACCTTCAGCAAATTATCATAAGTATGTGAGTGATCGCGATTTGTTTACTCGATTTCGTTTCTTAATTTTTTTTTTTTTTTTGTGTGTTTTGTTCTCCATTACAAATTTGTGATAAGCAAACGATTTCGTTTATTTCGAACTATGTAAATGAGAAAAACCCGCCGCTGCTCCAAAGCCTGATATAAATTTTTCACATTTACATACGATTCGGAAACTTTATTGAACCTTTAAGTAATATGTATTTTTATTTTGTTGTGTTTCGCTAGGGAACAACTCAGTGAAAATTAAGTTTGGGAAAGCGATGTCTACAAAACAAAAACTCATATTTTGTTTATATGTACATCTGTATGTATGTATGTGCTCACATACATTCATGACGATATTCACAATAGATCTTTAACATCTTATGGGATTATCGACGCAGCTGCTGATTACAATTGTTCATTGCAGTTGCTCCTCAAAACTAGATGGCCTTACATTTACATATGTATGTACATGCATAGGTATTTGCATATGTATGTATGTACACACAACAAACTTGTCTTTAAAAACAAAACAAAATAAAACACGCAGTCACACTGAAAAATAGTTGTCTATGTGCGTAAATACATATGTACATACAAATGTGCATATTTATGGTTATATGTATTTCATTTTTGCTTGTTCTTACACAACGCACAGTGTGACCTCTCTTCCCCAGTCATTGCCTACCCTCTCATGATCCACCGGCACACACACACTCACACTCACGCATAGGACCAACAGAACATTGTGTTTGCTCTCTCTCACATACGAAATGCGCACTAATTGAGGCAACTCGTCGCCAAATACAAAGAACAACAACTACCAAATCATTTCAAGCAGATTTTCGTAGCTTCTCTGTTTTTATTGGGTTTTCATGAGTAGCCGCGTTCAGCAGAGTATTTGTAATATTGTGAGTGAATTTCTAGTGAGGGAATATGGAGCACAACAAGACCAACGCGAATGCTAGTTACCCACAAAATATGTAAATATATAAATTTGTAAGTAACAAATCTTATTAACTATATAGTCTGAAATTTAATGACTATAGCTAAAAACGAATCAATCACTGTAAACGCTTAACAGAATATCATGCTGAACGCAGCCAATGTAAACGAGATCGGTTTTTGCGTCTGTTGACAGTGCGAAACAGCAAGAGCGCAAGAGCTGAGAGAGCCATTCAGAGAGAGAGGGAGAGAGAGCGCGTCGATGTCTTGTTTTTGTTTTTGTATACATGTGTGCGTGTGTTTGCATTGCTGTTGTTTTGTACGCTGTTGCTTTTTTATTGCTCTTTATTAATCACTTCTACATTTGTTATTCAACTATTTAGCTGGGTAGATGAAAAACAACAATACTTGGCCAATACCTGGAACGCTTGCTCGCCTGGGCGCAGCGTAGAGCAAAATTTATCACACTCAATAACGCAAACCAAAACAAAACAAAAAAAAAGCAAACGAAGAACGCTGACAAAGTAAACAACAAAAACAAAAACAAAACAACCGCGAATTACAAATAAAAAGTGTAAAATATTGTACATACATATGTATGTACATACTGAAATAACAAACTGCTTTAAAGCGGCAAATGCAACGATTGCTGCTCCGGCAGAAACGCGTTCAATAACATACAAAAAAATAAAATGTTAATTTTCTGCAATTTTTTGCCTATTTTTACACGGTTTTTTTCGTGCACACATACAAACGCATAAACAAGCACACTCTTACATTATGATATATGCATGTGTGCGTGTGTATGAACACATGTATTTAATGCAAACAAATTTAAAGTGTGCGCCCAACGCCCAGCACTCGCCCTCCGCCACCCATTTCTTGAAAAAGCCACTAAAAAAAAATACGACGTCGACCGCGCGACTTCAGCTAGCCACAGATCCCCATACAAATAAACATATTTAGCACTATGTACAGTGGGCATAGCAGTATGCAGAATTAAAAACGGTATTAAAATTATGTAAATCATCTCTTAAATAACATTAAACAAAACTATATGGTAGGTGCAAATTGCTATGTGAAATGTGAATTGGATTTACATAGCTTTTGCAGCGGCTATCAGAAATGTTGTTTAATCAGCATGTCAATTCCCATACAAATATCACACTCGCACCACTGTGCGCCGTTAGAGTCGCTTCTAACGCTTGTCAACAACTCTGTGGCGCTTTCTCTGTCGCTCTCGCTCTCTCTGTCCCATTCGCTCGCCGCTGCTAAAATTGTTTTTACAATTTTGGTTTCTTTGTTGTGCCTTTTCATTTGTTTTTGATGTGTGCGCTGGCCGAAGAAGAGGCATTTCAACTTTGTCTCGAAGTTGGCAGGCTTGTACGTATGTATGTATGTCTGTATGTACATACATTTGTATGGTAGCATACATACGCATATAGTTATATGCATAGCTAACATTCTATGCAACTGTTTAAAGATATGTATATGATAATCGATTGTCGAAAATGCAAGTAACATTAATAACTATTTAAATTAAATTTGACACATATGCATTTTTATTAATGTATATATTTTTTGAAAAAAGCATTAATTTACAAACATGCAACATATACACGTTTCAATAAATTATGTACATACATATGTTGGGTACAGCTTATTGCATATGTATATAGAGTATTTGGGCTTCGGTGCTCCAGAAAGAATTGTGTTCTGTCCGAATGTATTTACATAAATACATATGTGCATATGTATGTATTCGTAAAAAAGCTTTTCTTTGCATTCTGTTTTCATTTTCACTGAAATTTAATACAGCGGGTGTCTGAACAAATTTTATTGTGCGTATCTTTTGACTCCTTGTTTTTGTTGTTGTTGCGTGCAGCATTGACGGACGCTATTTGCATAGATTTGGGATGCCTTGCTGTAAATTGCAAATGCAACCAATAAGAAATGGGCGAGCTGTTGCTGTGCACACATACATACATATGTGCATATCAATGTAAGCATACATGCATGTTGTATGTGTGTGTGTGTGTGTTTTTTTTTCTTTATTTTTTGGCTGTTTCTTTTTCGACCATTTGCTTTATTGCTCCACTTTTGCTTGTGACTTTTTAGTGCCTTGTCGCAGTCGCTGTTATTTGATTTTCACATTTTTCTTTATTTTTGGTATCACATGATTATACAAACACACACACTCACGCACACATATGCATTAGTATTTGTGTGTGTATAGTTTAAGAAAATGCCATTTGAACATTTCGGTTAACGTTCACGTTTTGGGGTTGAGTAAGTGATCTGTTGATCTCCACATTTGTCGCTGTCTCTGCTACTCTACACAATTTGGTGACGTAAAAGATTGCCTTCGCTCGTTTGCTCGTTTTGTGTTATCTTGACAACACACGCATTTTCGTTGATATTTTTTTGTCATCACGTGTTGACGGCGCAGCGTGACTGCTTCTAGGTTCGTTACTTTTATCGCTGCTATTGGTCACACTGTGCAAGCTCAACACACACGCTGTGCGTGTGCGTGTTTGTTTGTGTTTCTTTGCATTAGTGTGTTGTAAGCTTTTGCACGCTCTCACGCAGTCGATTCATTGTTGGTATGCCTTTTTGCACCTGT